CAACTTGTACTGGACTTCCAAACCACTTTCTGTGGTACAGTATTAGATCTGTCTCTTATACACATCTTGACTGTTTTAAGTTTATCATATATATATATATATATATTTAAAATGTAGGAATTACATTTAACTAACTTGTAACTAACCAACTAACTAATATGTAAAATGAAGCTTGAGAGATCTGTAGAATGAATTGAAATTATTGTAAACAAAAGGTTTAAATAGTGGAAGAGTGAAGAGTAAGGCAAAAAGAAAGATATTCATTTCAATTAATGAAGAATGAAGTGTTAGTTTGATCCACAGTAGTTCAGGTTCTTTGTGCAGTGTAAATGACTATGGTAATGAAAAAATATAAATTCCATAATTCATGGTGAATTGAAATTGAATGAGTAAGCATAATACATGTTGCTTAAGGTGAAAGGACTAAAAACTGGGAGGAAGGGGAAGTGTCAAGCTGTCTGTGGGAAGGAATGAATTGATAGGGTGAGCAAAAGGAATATGGATTGATATACTAAGGAAGGGGCATAGATGGATAGATATAAGAGGAGGGGAAAGAAGATTTGACATGATTGATGGTACATTTATAGCAAACAACAAATGTTTTGTTTTTGTTATTTGTAGTTTATATATTGGGTAATATTTGGTTTATAGCTTTTCATGTTAATTTTCCTCTCCTTAAGGATATTCTTCATTAAAACTCAGTATACTTGTTCTGCTTGCATGGTTTTGCATAGTCTGCATCCCTGACAATTTTTTTCCGAACTTCAAAGATAGGTGGAAAAAATATCACTTTCACTTAAAGTGAATGACAAAAGACTTCTGGTACAATTAGAAAATTTACTTCTAAGAATGTGTTGCATATGAAACAATGATAAGTCTATTTTAACCAACTCTACCTGTCATGATCTCGCTATTTTCCTCAATTGAATTATACGGATACAAGCGACTATCACTCTAGTTAGTTATTAAATATCGACGCTTCCGCCATTGACGCCTTTCCTGATACATCTTTCTTTTTTGTAAAGCAGACAGCTAAAGCCGCCCACAGTGAATCTGATTCCTAGGGACTTCAAACCACTTCAATCAGACCGTTTTCATGTCTATAACGGTGTAACTATATACGTGTATATATATTTTTTGCACTTGTATCAGCTTTCACTTTGAATTCAGCAAGTAATTGTCCGTTTTACTCTGATCAGAAATGACGTAGCCATTTAGAGAAATGTACTTAGAAAAAGTGCCTTGACTTTCCATAGATTCTTTAAACGATTAAAACACTTTAAAGAGTTTTTCCCAAGGTGTTAAATCCAAATAGTTTCGTTGAATTTTAGGTGACAGTCCTGATAGAGATAGAAATCAGAAGCCAAAGTGTCTCTAAGTGCCGACGCTTTAAACAAAGCCTAGAACAATTTACTAACTTGTTGAATATATGCGGAACATGTTGATACCTGCTTAGTAAAAACACCTGTGGCAATTGGTATCAGAATGGAATGCATTCTTACAGGTGACTAAAGGGAAGTTGAAAGCAAGATATTTAACTGTTTGTAAATCCAGCTTAAAAGATAAAATGACTATGATGAAATCTATAAAAATTCCCAAACATGTAATTAAAATCATTGAATTAGGCATTTAAAAGAATAAATTAAGTTGTCACGTTCCAAAAAGATACAGATCAAGACAATTCAGTTGTCACAGATGTGTAAGATTTTTTACAATACTGGTATGAATATCCGTAAATTGTCTCCCGCCAGTGTAAATGTCAGTAAACAATGTAACAATGTAAATAATATGGTATGAATGACATTAATATTTGACACCTACAAGGCACTATATAAATGTGGTATTAATATTATTACCTTTTCTCTTTTTGAAGTACTAGTATGAATATCCTTAAATTGTCTGCTGCAGTGTAAGGGTCTGTAAACAATTGTGCAAATGTTATTAATTTTTGACACCTACTAGGCATTATATAAATGTGGTATTATTAATATTAATGTTATTATTAGTTTCCCCTTTTACAGTACTAGTATGAGTATTCTTGTCTGTTGCCAATGTAATGGTCTGTAAACAATATTTGTAGTAGGAATGATGTTAAGTGGATATCATTTTTAATATTAATACTTGTTTTTCCTTGCTTTAGATGATCATATATTTTTAATAGAGACAAGGGACCAAAATATGTACACTATTACAGTACTTATTTTTTATTTCAATTACTCTTCATTCCAAAGATTTTCCAAATATGTAAAAAAACAATATTTCTATCCTTTCACATGCGTTGTTCTTCATCAATCTTATATGTGTTATTTTTATATCATTTTCATTATTTGGGGATTTTCCCTATACTTTTAAATTGCTGAATTGTACATTTGCTCTGTCTTAAGTACTAGAACTTTTTGCATCTGGATTGGATTATGACAAATATTTTCCTGATCGTAGAAGTTGTATTTTTCGAAAAACAAAATTTTTATCCACAGCTTTTCTTAGAGAAAAAAAAAACTGATCTGTCAAATTCAATTATTAAGTATCCATATACAGGATTGTTGACAACATTTTAAAATCTCATGAAGGACAATCCATGTTCAAAGCATCAACCAATTCTATCAGATTTTTTATATCAATTTACCTTCCTTCCCTTTTCTTATAAACTTTGATTTTAATGTCTTTTTTTTTTGGCTTGAAAATAAAAATTTCACTAACGCAGAACTTTTATTCTACTGCCAAATTTGAAACGGCTGTCATGAAGATCATGTCAGGCTGTGTAGAGTAAACTTCGTCTTACTTATGTGTGTGGTAATTATACAATACTATTCAAATCATTTAGAATATATTTACAGATCTCAAAATTATTCACAGTTATAATATAAAAATATAAAATAAAAATAAGTATCAGGGGCAAATCCAGAGATGTCCAAAAGTGGGGCCGGAAGGGGGATGAAAGTGGATGTTCCATAGACAATTTTTTTTGTAACTGAGTTGGCATTAAACAGCGCTACCGTAAACTAAAACTGTTACAACATAATTGCACGACGGCGTTGACAAATTTATTAACAAGAAACATGTTAGCGGCAAAACACATACGCTGAACATACCAAAGATATTGACAGTTACAATACTTGTCGCTTTGAAGTCATTTTGAACCCATTGAGTTTGACTATACACGTACGTGTAATAACATCACTACAACAATACTACTATAGGCCTATTATTAAGGCCTATAGTAGTACTAAAATCCCCCGCAAAATTTCTGTGTTCTAGACGCCCAAAAATATCCTCTGAGGCCTTTTGGGCGATCAACTTTTTCTTTTTTTTTTCTTTTTCCTCTTTCTTTTTTTTTCTTTTTCCTCTTTCTTTTTTTTTTTTTTTTTTTGACTTTCCAAAAGGGGTGGGGCCCGGGCCAGGTGAACCCCTGCCCTTGGTTCCAAGCCTGAGTGTCAACTTGGTATACACATAAAATATTTTTAATTGAGTCTTTTTTAAAACTCTTACATTGTTAATAATCAGATTTCTACATATTGGGATTAGACATATATTATATATATTATATACATACTCCATTAAAACGCTTACTCATTACTTACGAGCTTAAGTCTATCATGCTTCAATATTTCTTCCTGCTCATGTAACCTGGTCAACTCGCACTCACCATCAGTACACTGTTTTTACTCCCTTTCACACTGCCTCCCACACATGCTCCACTATCCGAGCCTCGATTCTCTGGAATTCCCATCTTCTTATTTCCTATCATCCTTTAACATTAAGACTTTAAAAATGTTCATCAACAACCTCCCTCTAACCTTAGTATAATTCTAATTGCTTCTTTGCAGGGCCTTATTTCCATTTGTCCTGCATAGGGTAATAAACAAAATTTATATAATATTTTAAATTCTAATAGAAAATGAAGAATGGTTCATTAATTGATATGGAATAGCATTGATATATCTTGAGTAGTATAAAAATCTGTCATTATTATTTATTATTGTTATTCTTGTTTTGCTGTATTTTTATTTGTTAAAACTAGCCATCATTACGATAAAACAAAAATAATCCATCCATTCTTAATTCCTGATTCTTGTCAGTCACAACTTTTATGAGAATTCATGCTATCCTCACCTCCTTACTCTCTATAAATTATGTAACAATAATCCACAGTTGATAGTTATATTTCTTCAAACTTCTACAACAAAATAAATCTTTTAAACAAACAAGCATCAGTTCATGCTAGCTTTTAGGAGAAAATTTACAATTTCGACAACTTTGCCTCCAATTATGTCGTGCTTGGCACCTACTTGTAATTTATATTGTGGGGTTTATTATGTTTTAATTTCTAGAATTACAGTAGTAAAATGGTTGAGTTTTGTTTCTCTATGTATACTATGGCCCTAGATGATCAACAAATTATTTCTTGAAAGACCTATTTGCTTTTTATATGTATTATTATATAGATGTATAAAAATATAAATATGGTCTCTAGTTGTGCTATTCAGATTTAAAATTGCATTTTAAATATAAATAGATAAATTTGTTATTTGCTCATTTTACTGTTTTGTTTTATTGTTGCTTGTTAATTATATTTTAGAAATATTGGTGTTCTAGAAAAAACTCAAAAGAATTAGGCCTATATCTTACAAGTTTCCTCACCATGCTCATTCTTTCAAAGAATTTCATAAAATTGAAATTTGATATTGAACCATTTAACTTCAGTAACGATTGATTAATGTGTCTACCAATGCTTACCAAACTCTGTTTTTGTAAATGTTTTTTCATTCTATTTAAGAAGAATTCCTCAAAGCTAATGAATTTGTTGTGTATCTTCATTAATTTTATGAGTCTGTTGTGCTCCTAAGTTCATGATTCCGACGAATATAAAGTATGAAGACGACTTTCTAAAGTCCAAGTGCCGCCATCTTAGAGGTCGTTTTGATTAGATTTCTTAAGAGAAATAGTTTATTGGTCTCAACAGTCAGCATTTCATGCAATTCATGTCTGTTTTCTTGTAGCATGCTGGCACTGAACACACGCATCTTCCCGTACCGGAACCAAGCAAGATAGACAAGGCTACACTCGTTAAATTTGACGATGTCGACAAAGATCTTCGTCGCATAATTCGTGACCTACGAGGTAAACTTTGTCAAATTATTTTTAAAACGCATGTTTCTTGAACCGGATTTTAAAAATATATTGGATGAGGTCCCTTTTGACTCTATAGACTGCAGGCACTAGTGACATATCTCTGATAATTGACAGGGGTGTGATGGGAGAACTGATGAGGGTGTGACAGGGAAAAGTGGGGGTGAGGGTTTCTAACTTAGGTAATGTAGCACTTTTTTAACTTCTCAAGTTGCTTTTTTGCTTTTCTATTGGTGAGGGTAGGGGGAGGAGTATACCTGGGGTGCATCTTTTTCTGAGGGTTAGTCCCCATTCCCCCAAGGGAATGTCACTAGACACAGCAAACTCAAGGTTATGTACATCTAGGTACTGTATTAGTACACAAGCACACACATACATTACAACAACATGCTGGAGAACCCAAAAAAAACTGAAGTGAGATGGATAAGAATAATAGTTTTTTTTTGTGAGATGGATAAGAATAATAGTTGTTTTTTTTTCACATTATCCAGTTTTAGGGGACAACTGTGATTTGCCCATATATGGGTATGATATGACATCATCATGTCCATGATTTGAGTGATATGACATCATCATGCCCATATTATCGACCAATCATATAATTTGTTGCATAAAACTTTGTAGTGCTTGATCATAATGATTGCAGGTTTTTAATATTAGCATCAGTCTGTCTTTTTACATGGTTTCATTTTTCAAGAAAAACAAGGCTGCTCTTTTTAATCTTAACAAAAACATGTGACTACATAAATATGATCATGATGACATCACATCATGACCATATATAGGCACATCATCACTATATACGTGCATACATAATTTTTTTGTCAAAGAAAATAGAATTTGATAGTCTGGTCAGAGCTTTACAATCTGTGTTTTGCTTGAAGTGCACCCTCTATCATTTTAGAGCTCTTCTCTCAGCAATAAATTATCCAATATTGTTTGGGCCATTGAATGTTTAATTTAAACCAGACATATTTCAATTCTTTAAATAAAATTTATTGTATATTTAGTTCATTATTATGTTATACAAGGCACATACAGAGTAGGCTACACCTGAGTGAGGCATTCTGTAAACATTTTTTTGAAAATTTGCAATTAACTCTTTACTGCCAATACCATAAACCTTCTGCTGTACATACTGTATCTGCCAAAAATAATATTAAAGTAGAATGGAGCAGCTTATTATCCAACCACTCCTGTAGTCCAGTGGCCTGAAACCGAAAAGGTTGATCGCCCTGCTTTATACCTGTCATCATTTTAGAAAATAAAATATATATTTAAAACAAAATGTTATAAACATTGTAGAAAAATATGCCACTATGTTGTACGCATCATGTTTTCATTCTTTTAAGAGTGGAAATACATTTTAAGCATATGATATTAGATTAACCAACTTTGAAGTTGATAATAACAATTTCTTTTATATATTTTATTGATACTGATAATTTTTTATTCGTCATAAAAAGTATATTTTTTGGAAAATTGTTTTGCAAACACCCATCAAATTTCTTAAAACAAACAGCTTTTTCCACAAATAACTTTATCTCAAATCCGAGTTGTGGAATTCCAGAAAATTTAATGACTTTTTATAGTACCAACAAAGTTAGTTTTCCTGCAGTCTCTATTGTGTGTAATGATTTAGTTTTGGCAAAATTCATTTTTGGAACAATTTACTGTAAGCTATGGGTGAAAATTAAAAATAGCCTATTTGAGATTGATACATTCTGTCAGAAGTCCATACTCAAATTACTCTACACATACCATATTTTATTCTTAGAATTGGTACCAATAATATTTGTTTTTAAAGAATCTTAACCAAAACTTTTTTTAAAAAACATTTACACAAAAATGAGAAGAATTTCAGTTTCTTATATAAACGTACCTCACTATCTGCTCCTACCCATTTATGGATGTATCTATTATTATCTCATACTTGGCCCCTTCCCCCTCCCCCCTCCATCTCTTACCCAATTCAGCCTCTCTTACCCACTTCTGGATTAATCATATCCTATCTACTCTCATTTTCTACTCCTGTCTACCACCTACATTTATCACTTTATCTACTCCCATCCATTGCTCCTTGCATTCCTGTACTTCGCATTCTCACCTATTCTCTACCTACTCCTACAACCTACCAACCCACATTCCCTACCCTCTTACGTCATACCTAATGCCCTCCACCTACTCTTATGCCTTACCCCTACCTACTCCCTACCCATTCCCATCCACTATCTATTTCCGTTTTTTACTGCCACCACTTTACTCCCATCCCTACCCTACCCACACGTAACCCACTCACATCCCTACCCTACCCACACATAACCCACTCACATCCCTACCCTACCCACACGTAACCCACTCACATTCCTACCCAAAACCCATCTCTACTTAATCCCATTTTGAACTACTTTTCCAACCCACTTCAATCCTTAACACTTTCCCATTTCCTACATACTCTTAACTATTTCTATTACTGTCCACTCCCACTGTTTTCACCTATTGCCATTAAAACCTTCAGCATGCACCAATCAGTCAGTCAATTAATAAATCAACTGATAATACCCCATGCATGTAGATTTTATGCACACTCTTGGGAAAGCATTATAACTTTTTCTGCAATGGTATATATAACATCCACATCTTTATTAGGCCCAATAAAAAATGATTAGTTTATCACCCTCGCCTGCATGTCTTCTATGGTATAAAAAAATATATATATATATTTTCAGGGAAAAAATTTAAAAATAAAAAAACAATTTTCTTTTTCATAGATTTAGTAAATAATTAGTAGATACTGTTTGTATGATGTCAGTCATGTATTTTACTTTAAATACCAATGCCCCACCGAACAACCCAAGGGTGATACATTTGCCTTTAGCAAAATATAAAAAAAGCCTATAGGGTTTGAAGTGATAACTTAACATTACAACAATTGCTTCTTCCAGTTATCACAGCCCATTCACTTATTTATCCATCAAATTGTCCATCACTTTGATAATCAATCAATCAATCATATCTGACAGGTGTGATATATCTATAAGGTGGCAGATGAATATAGTCTGCCTGTGTATACGTGTCGTTCCTGTAAGCTACCTTTTAGCCAATCAGGTTAAATGACAACTGAAGGTCAAATACTTTTGAAATTCTTTTGTAACTTATTTTTCAATATTGATAGTGGTGCTCTTGTCGAGACTATTTCTGGGTTTTATGTTTTTTTTTTTTTTCTTTGCAAGTATTCACAAATATAATCAAAAGGCCTGGAGTTTCAAGGTCGTTTGGTATATCTAAATTCAGGAATATAAGGATCTTTAGCAAGTTCAGTATTAAAGAAGTATACACAAAAGGGATAGTAAAATTTGCAATGATTTCAATTCCATTCCATAATTATAAAAGCAACCAAGTGTGGTTGAAGAATGTAGCTTGAGTAAAGTTTTGTGCAGAGAGGGAAAGATTTAGTATTGTTTAGGTGTATTTTTTGTCAACTTACGTCCATTTGGTTCTATTATCAAGGATTTCAGTTCAAGAAGATTACCAGTTTCTTTATTAAGGAAATATGAAAAGATTACTCTTCGTTTGAACAAAGCCGAATTGGATTTTAATATTAAATGTATTATGCCATGTTAGTTGTAACCTATGTGTTACCTATGTGTTATACTTTTTTACTTTTAGCCTTACAGATTTTACAATTTATTATTAACCGCCTCACACTGAAATATTTTTCATTGTAGATTATAAACAAAGATACTTATCATTTTAACCAATATTTAAATTTAATTTTATTTAAAGGTTGCTTGATCTAAACATATGATATACAAAAAATTGGTTATACAACACACCGCTATGTGTGGTACATTTTATGAGAGTACAGTACATACTTTCCATCTAAATATATTTTTACCAAGCTTTTAATAATGAATTTGATGCCTTGACAAAAGCTTGTAAGTTTGTAACCAAACTGCATGGGGCACGTATTGGCAATGAACCCTATGCCTTGCCTAGTCCTAAAAAGCATGAACCTGAATATGCCCTATTGTGTTGATATCTGAACCCATACAAAACCAAAAACACAAGGTAAAATCAACAAAAACATACTGTCATTTACAGGAGCACATAACAGATCTATTCATGTTAGTCTGAATAATATCCCTAACTTACAACTTATGAAATGCGAGATTTATCATGGAGAGCACTTCATCATTTTACTGGCAAAAGACATTAATTGCCTTCTCTGATTACAAAGCTATCGTTCACTTTAGATGTGAATCACATCCATTATGAAATGAAGATAATAAATTACTTTAATATGTGTAACTATTGCGGTAAATTTGATGCCCTGAAGAAGTACGATTTCCTGCTTTGGGATTATCGTGCTTTAAGCCATTGGTAATCCATTGGGATTACCATGCCTTAAGCCATTTATAATCCATATTGTGACATCCTTGTGTAATATATTGATACAGTAATAGCATAGACTTTACTCCTTACCCATTTCATCTCTCCTTTCTACTTTTTATCTTTTCTTAGCTAACCTATTCTTGTACAATCTTGGAACGTAAATAAGTAGGCCTATAGCAAATAAAACATTTCTTTATTACTCTATTATTCATCAAAGTGCTAGGATGATCTAAAGAAGAAAACTAACTTTAAAATGACAATATTTGTATTCCATAATTTTGTCACTTTTACTAATTGTCTTCTCTTTAATAAGTTTATATAACAGTACCGTTTTGGAAAGTAGTATGTACTAAAAATGTGCAGTACACAGAGCAATTAAAGTAAATTCAAATTTGAAAGTCCATCTCTTCTCTCTCTGCTTATCTTCCTACTCCTCATCTCTATCTACATCATCCCATCTTTCTTTTCCCTTATCCTGCCTGTCATTCAGACCAACTCCTTTCTTTCCTCCATGTTTTTCACCTGCATACACATTTTCTTTCTGAATTGAATCAAAGAATCACAGTGCAACAAGATACTCTGTAAATCATCAAACACTTGCCCGATTCTTCTCCCCATGACTTATTCTTGTCGCGCCACTTTCTATGTCATTGTAAGCAAAAGAGCCTTGAATTGTGAACATGTTAATCCTTGCCTAGGTCTTCCTGTCTTGGAACACTTGGCAAACACACTCTCACAGACATTCCTCCAACCTTCGTAGAATTTGGGGTTTACCTACCTACCACAGGATGTGCTGCTATTGAGTGGGCTTTACATTAAAAACACATGAATCTTTACAAGTACTGTACTTAACTAGTACCAGGCTATCAAATTTTATTTTGACAAACACATGTGACATGCCTAAATATGGTCATAATGACATCATATCATGACTATATAGACACATCATGACTAAATATGGGCAAACAACAGTTTTCTGTCAATGAAAATTTGATAATCTGAGCAGAGCTGTAAGCAACACTCTTTATATTCAATTGTTCTCTGATTTTTCCAAATTTGTTTCAAAGTACATGAACAATGGTTCCATGTAGGACTTAGATTATATCTTCTGCTCTGTCCAAACTATTCAATTTCTGTGATGTGCCCATATATGGGCATGGTGATGTCATATATTACATCCAAATATGGGCATACCACATTTTATTGTCACACAAAATTTGATAGTGTGGCCAGAGCATTAAAGCTTTGGTCACACTATAAAGTTCTTTTTTTTGGTGACAATTTGATGTTCTTATGGACATGATGATGTCATTTCACACCCATATATGGGTGCATAGTGTGTGTGTGTGTGTGTGGACAGGAGCTTTACACCTTTTGATTCAGTGCACTTAAAGTGTACAGACCGCAGCGTCGTCAATCTATCATCTGAGCGATCAGTGAGCTCTGTTATACAGCAGACGATTTGTTTCCTTAGATGTTTACCAAGATATTTTCTTGTCAAACAGGTGCCATGATGGTGGCAGAAGTCGGGGATTAGATTTCTTTTGCATTCCCAAGCAACATTCAATAGCATTATTCCTTTTGTTTTACAGACTTCAGAAATGTAGGCTAAATGGTTGAGTTCATTACCACAGTAGAGCGCTCCTTTATAGAGTTCATGGAGTTGATTTAAAATCATGTTTTATAGAGGTTTCATTTTTTTATACTGTAACTGTGTATCTGCTATTTATTACTGTATGAAGTCTTGTATAATTTCATAGAAATATTGTGTTTGCTTGCTCATACTCGTATATCCTTCAGTTGAGAACTCAGACAATACTTTTTATATCTTGTTTTATGAACCAGTCGCCTGCTGGTAATAGTGATTTCAAATAAATATAACATTTTAATTTTTGGCCTATTAATGCTGTTTACAAATCTGTCGCCCCCAAAAAAATAGAAATTTGAGAAAGAAATAAAATTTTTTCTTTGTTTTTATTACACCCATTGGTGCCATAAAATCCGGGAAAAAAAGTTATATTTCTTCCTCACAACTGAATTACTAAACTATGTATTCTTTCTACGACCACATTACAGAATCTCAAATGATTGCTTAAGAGGGCACCATTTTATACATTTTCAACTTGCGCACATTTTTATATTTGTCAGTAAAACATTTATATGCTTTGGTAGAAATATTTTGCTGAATGAGAAAACGTTCTCACTCCTACCCTTCTTTGAAAAATTATAATACAGAAAGTTTTGCTATGCCATCTTTCAGTAAAATCTTATAAAAATATAATAATCTATCTGTTAAGCTATTAAACTTGAACAATGGTATTTAATATTTAGTTGCTTTGTATTTAAAAGTTAAAAGTAATGAATTTAAGGATTATTTCATTAAAAAATCTATAAATCAACAAGTTAATTTGGACCAATATAAATAATAATATAAATTAAAAACATAATATACCAATATAAATATAACTGATATACATTTTTTAGATTACTATTACTAAATATAATTGTTATATCATGAATCCTTGTAAGCTCCATATGCAGGGTGACAAGATACAAATCTCAGTGAGATTTATTTGTACTGCATCTTTTGGGCATACTGTAGCCCATCATCAGGTACATATTTTTTTTTTTAAATTTTAAATTGTTTTCCATTATATGGCCATTTGCTGTTTTATGGGTTTTTCCCATTTGCCTTTCAAACTGTTTTGTTTTTTTTCCCATGCCTTCAAATCACTTTATATATACAAGTATCTCATTCGAGATTCATATATATAAAATCATATAATTTATATAAATTATATGATTATTTTATGATTATAATACATAGTAAGCAATTCAGCTATCAAATTCTGCTGTTAAAAACTATTAGCTCAACAAATATAATGTATCCACTTGTGTTATAATGTTAATGTGTAGCACTGTGATAAAATTTCAGGAGAGTGTGACCATGTTAAAACAATACTGCTTTTTAAGTGGCATGGGCTATGCAACAGATTACAGTAAATCATGAAAAGAGCAACAAATAATGCTCAGAAATCTAGCTTAATTGGAGTCGGTTATGACAGAACTTATGGGAATTAAAAACCAAAAAGCGAAATGCCTCAGATTCTGTAGAACGGTTGCTGAAATACTCAAGTATTCATAAATCTACGCTATCAAACAGATATTGAGACTCCTAAATACAGAGTGTGTAAATTACTGTTGATTTCTTACACTTCTGGCCAGAGCCAGCAAGTCTAAAAGTCAACGTCTCTGGAGGCTTCTTCAAGTCTTCTAATATCAGGCTCACCGATAGTATTAGTAGTAAAAATTATGATAACTGTCTAATATTGGGGGTATGTAAGGAAATAGTGTTTTTTGGCAGGGAAACAGCCAGAATAGTGAGCATATAGCCGGATCTGATTCCTGAGCCTGCTTGTCTGATTATCCACTAGGGTGTTTTTTTTTATTAAGATGCTTTATACCAAATAATAATAATGTGATTGTACGAGGTTGTTGTAGGATGCTTGCTTTAGTTTCCGGCTCCTTGGCACCTTAGATGCTGTAAAGTGAGGGGTAGTAAGAGTTGTTTATTTGTAGTCTGCATTGAATCTGATCTAGCCCCAATGTTCCTCTTGAAATTATAATTTGCAGTTCATCAATCTTACAACATTTATGAAGAGGTTTTTTAAAGGTTGTTTACCTTTATCCATTCTTCACCCTTTCCTTCAACCTCTTAGTGATAATACCATCATCACATTGCTAGGTGGTGTACCACAAGCATTTATCATTAAGTAAGTAATATTTATTGTTTTCCATGAAATCATTACTAAGAAGAGACAATGAAAAAATGATCGTACTGCAGAAAATAAATACAAAGCAAAATCTGAAGAACTTCTGCCATAAACTCATCCTAAGGCGAGTCTTTTTTATTCCTTGTTTTGCATACTTATTTTTTTAATGATTATCGGAGGAAGGCGGAATAAAAATTAAAATAAAATTTTGTTTTCTTATTTAGCAAATAGATTTGCCAGGATCATCCAGACAGATGAGAAAATAAAAATAAAATTTTATTGGTGAATGTAAAATGGGATGGTTAAATGCTTCAAATCAAATCAAATCAGATGACGTCATAATCATGGAAAAACGATAAAATTGTTGCTACTACTACGATTTTAATTTTTTTCATGATTATGATATCATCTGATTTGATTTGTCAAAATATGTTGTTATCGCATAACTGATAAATCTTTATCGAATTGTTCTAGTGTAGAAACTTCTCTTATTTCTTTCATTTTCTATATGAACAATTGCTTTTTAGCTTTTTTATCGTTATCGTTGAAGTATGAACAGGCCTAAAGGCTTATTTTAGAAGGAGTCCCCAATCAGTTAATGTTATTGTAAAAGAGTAATATAGTATTTTATTTTTATTTGTTTATTTTTTTGTTTGGCAAATTTTTTTAAGGTTACTATGTTTACACCACCACTCAAATGATCAAGAGAAACTCTCAACAATTTAAATAAAACAGAATCTCTCATCATATAAGTTATACATTTTCACTGAATAAAAATCAGCTTTGAATGATCTACAAATATTTCTAATGGGAAAAATTTAATAATTATATGCAAATATTATGAAATAATATTTAAATGTCATTGGCATGGATTTTTTCATACTAATTTTGTAGATCAATAAATAAATTGTTATAAGTTGTTAGGTGATAAACAGTTAATTGAAAAAAAATAGCATATTTGATCACAAAACTTTATGGTTACCATCCATGGAATCATGATGTTGAAGCTG